TGATTGGTATACTTTCTCCCGTCCATTCCCCATTGATTCCAATCGGTGCCAGTTGGGACTTTCCCCTTTTCTTTCCCGATTCTTTCTTCTTTCCTTTCTTCTTCCCTTTCTTTTTTCCTTTCTTCTTTCCTTTCTTCCCATGAAACTTTCCCTCCAATTTCCTTATCAGTTCTCCTCCATTTCCCTTCTTTTTCTTACCCATCTTCTCATTTATATTCTTTCAAAAATTTTATGACAAAAGGAAAAATTGATCGATGGAATAGGGAATCTCGAAAATTATGAGATTTGTAGAAAAAGAATTGAAATCTTTTTTATAATTAAAATCGTTTTAGATCTGTAATCGTTTTTATAATTAAAATCGTTTTATAATTATTGGGTTGGGGAGAATGAGTCGACGACCAACTGGCGCCCAGCCCAACAAAGGAACTTTTTGCACACATAAAGCCTTCTTTAAACATACGTTTGGTTTCATCAAAAGGATCCACTATTTCTCTACAAAATCACTTTTGAGAGATTCCACAAAGCTTTTCTTTCGTGGAGTTTATGAACTTCGAAACGCAGCTGGTTAAAATGGCAAAGAGTCCGACTCATCATTTGAACAGTTTCTTTCACATAAACCTTCTTTGGTGTTTATATAAAAAAGATAGAGCACATTGAATTACTTAAGTTGCCAAATTTGCAGGAAGATCCCACCAATGCTTTTTTTCTAGATCACAGTTTGTAGTTTTTGTGAAAAAATGGCTTTTTCTTGAGCGGAGGCGCTGTTTGAATTTTCTTTTAAATGTGATTTTGTAGAGAATTAGTTAACCATTCTACTCATATCAAACGCATATTATTTGACGAAGTCGAATAGAAGTTTTACACATTTTTTTCATTTTCGGCGCCGACTCATTCTCCCCCAACCCAATAAAATCGTTTTATAATTGGAATCGTTTTTATAATTAAAATCGTTTTTATCTGTGTAATAAATTGTTTTATTATTATTTTCCAAACCAAAACACAAATTACGGTAAAAATGAGAAAGGTGGATGAACACGTTGACTGACAAATCCTCGTCTAACATCATCGCCACTTTTCAAGCCATAGAAGTAGTTCACTAATCGAATTTTGTAAAAGTTCTTTTACTAGAAATACCTAAAGCTTTGAAGAACTCTTGAGACTCGGTTGTTGTCGAAAATTTAGCGGTAGTTGATTCGAATCCAGAATTATCCAATAGAATACCATCTAGAAAGGGAAATTACTCTTTAAAGCCGGTTTAAGTTTATAAAAAATATTCAATTTATGCTGATTTTATGTCCGAATCCGATCTCCGAAGATGAAGTTAAGCTGTTGTCAAAATTAGCTCGTTGATAGCTACTACGTTGACAGCTACGTTGGCAGCTACGTTGTCAGCTACTAGGTTGACAGCTACTACCTTGGCAACTACTAAGTTGGCAGTTACTACGTTGGCAGCTACGTTGACAGCTACTACTTTGACAGCTACTGTTAAGATCCCAAGCTAAGATCAAGTTAAGTTCGATCCCCGATGCTGCAAATGTCTTTTATTTCTTTATTTTGATGCTTTTTCACTAAACAACTATATTACTAATGCCAACACTTCTAAAGATTCGATAAAAACATTAAGCAAATACAACACAACTTCAACACAAGTATAATTCTTGGATTTACGCTGATCGTAGCTATAAAAACCTTTTATTTCCTTTAAATAGATTCATTTTAGCTGTCAAAAATTTTCAGAAAACACAAAATTGCTTAATAATTGTAGTATCAGTCTCATAGAACAAGTAAATCGATTCCTGAATGTACCGAGGATCAACTACAATACAGTAAGCCACCAACAAGCACATGTACTGTACTGTACTGTACATGTACTTGATGCTGATACAGTGTAACTTATTGGGAGCTTCGGTAATCAATGGAGTGCCTATATAGAAAATAGTAGGACCTGGGGTCGAACGCGCAACTCTAACTGCTCTAACCCCTGAGCTATAAAGTGTCTAATTGCTCTAACCCCTGAGCTATAAAGTATCTTAAATTGTCAAGAGAAAGAAGGAAAGACGGGGGAAGAAGAAAGGAAGAAAGGAAGAAAGAGTGAAAAAACATTAAAACAAAAAAAAGGTGAAAGAGATTTGCAGCATTGGGGATCGAATCTGTGAGCTAGTCGTTTCTCGCGAATTAGCATTTAACTTCTTCCGAACTGATCATCTGGTCGGATTCGGACGTAACAAATGTATAATTTAAGTTACTGTACAGTCCGTCACAATACAGTAACTTACAGTATACATATAGATTGAATATTTTTTAGTAAAAGAGATTCATTCATCGATTACTCAATTCTCGGTACTTATTGATTGTTTTTAAGGAAACAAATTGACTTTTAAGGAATAAATCAAAGAGAATAGCGTTATAATTATATAAATTTAAATATAAAAAGGTTTATTGCTTTCAATTTTAATGAATTTAAGAAAAAAAAAGGGAAAACGAGCTCTCTACGATGTTGCAACTTCAATTAGCATTTAACTTCTTCCGAAGTGATCATCTGATCGAATTTGGACGTAACATTTATAAAGTAAGTTACTGTACAGTAGGCCACAATACAATAACTTACAGTATACATATCAATTGAATATTTTTTAGTAAAAGAGATTCATTCATCGATTACTCAATTCTCGGTACTTATTGATTAGAGGGACCGTTTTTAAGGAAACGAATTGACTTTTAAGGGACAAATCAAAGAGAATAGCCTTATATTAGGTTGTCCAATAAGTAATGCGTGTTACTTATTTTGAAACTATTGCGAAATCGCTTCGAGCAAATATATGCTCTTTTTAATCATCAGCATCTTGTGTTTATTTTTATATATTATTTTTATTCATTTGCCTTTGTTTTATAATAGATATGTTGTTTTGCAGATAAAAGACAAAAAGTTTGTTGTCCGCGCATCAATGCTGTATGATTTCAAACGAGGTAAAACTGCAGCGGATTGCCATCGAACTATCTGTGCCGCATTTGGAAAGGATTCAATTTCAATCAGCCAGTGCCAGCGCTGGTTTAAACGATTTGCGGACGGAAACGAGTCGTTAGAGGACGAGGAACGCGCTCGCAAAAACGACTGGAAGGCCAGTCGTTTTTTGATAACGAAGCTTTGCTTAACACCATGACGGACTTCACTCTTTGCTCGGACGATGGAGAAATGTTGTTGATTGTTGTGGCGAATATATCGATTAATAAAGTTCTCTTTTGTTAATTTTGTGATATTTTGAAAATCGTGTCAAAACACGCATTACTTATTGGACAACCTAATAATTATATAAATTTAAATATAAAAAGGTTTTCAATTTTAATGAATTTAAGAAAAAAAAAGGAAAAACGAGCTCTCTACGATGTACCAACTTAAATTTGGGCCGTATAATCAATAAGTATTAAAAACTCTTTAGTAAATAGATTTTCGGGTCTATTCCAAAACAGCGCCGACCAAAACAGCGCCGCCAAAACAGCGCCGCCAAAACAGCGCTGTACCCAAAACAGCGCCGTCCAAAACAGCGCCGACCAAAACAGCGCCGCCAAAACAGCGCCGCCAAAACAGCGCCGTACCCAAAACAGCGCCGTACCCAAAACAGCGCCGTACCCAAAACAGCGCCGACCAAAACAGCGCCAATGCAAAAACGCCCAAAACAGCGACAAGCAAAAAAAATTATTTTTTAGATTTTTGCTTTTGCTTTTTCTTTGCTGTTTTTAACTTTTTCTGTCCATTTTTTGTGTTTTTAGGGTAAAAAAAGGCGGAGAATCCGATTTTTTTAAGCTTTACGCATAGAAACCTGCAATAGCGTTTATAAAATTGATTTTAACCAAAAATAACGATTTTTTTCCTTTTACGGCCTGTTTTTTAACGTTTTCACTAACTTTTTATTTCTACTACGGATTACTTGAAAGCTCTAGCCGTTTATGTTCATCATCGCTAGTGTTATGATGTTTCAGAGTCTCTTGGACTATTAATTTGATGCTATTTTAATGTTTTTTATGCATCGTTTAATTGTTATCGTTTATTGTTGTTGGTCATGTTATTTTTAAATAAATTATCAAAATTAAAAGCTGCTAATAAAAAAAATGAGTGTACATTGTAAAAGAAAAAAAACTTTGTTTTGCATCGGCGCTGTTTTGGGTACGGCGCTATTTTGGGTACGGCGCTATTTTGGGTGGCGCTGTTTTGGTCGGCGTTGTTTTGGTCGGCGCTATTTTGGCGGCGCTGTTTTGGGATAGACCCAGATTTTCTAACAACCCTTTGACGAAAAAATTGAATTTAACCTCGATAGTAAAGAGATTTTTCGACTCCATTGAGTTATTTACTAACAAGCTTTGACTCTACTACTTTATAAGAAATACTTTATAATTTATATAAGAAAATCTATTTACTTTTTTTGAACTAAAAACTTTACAGCATCGTCGCTTTGTCATTGATTTAGTCGAAACTTTGAAAATCCTCCGTTGTAAACAGATTAGCCCTTTGTTTATAGACTTTTTCAAATTTAAACCGCGGTCAGGGCCCAGAAGTGGCTCATTCCTTTTGCAAATTCCCTTTGCTTCCAATGCCTCTTTATCAAATTCATTTCCCGTTAGAGCCGCTAGATTATGGAACTTGCTCCCAAACGACATACGAGAAATTCAGTCGCTTTTCATATTCAAGAAACGTATCGATGCTTTAGATCTAGTGGCTCTTTGCCGTAAGTAATTGGCTTATTGATTTCAGTATGTATTGTATGATTAAGTATCACTGTCCATTTCTCTATAATTTCTTTCACTTTATCGTTTGAATAAAGTATTATTATTATTATTAAAGAGTTTTTAATACTTATTGATTAGACGAAATAGATTTGATCTTACTTGACCAATTAGTCTTTTTTGAAGTCTTTCTTGAAGCTAGACAAAACTTTGAACATTTAAAGCTAATGCTAACCGTGTTAAAGATTAGAATAATGGGAATTGAAACCTCTAAACTCTTACCTTTTCTTTTTTTTAAGCTTTAGATTCTCATTTAAGTCGTTTACTTCCATTGTTGGACTCAAAGTTATTGAGATTTTAGATGACACATTTGAAGCTTCTGAAATGTTTATAGTAAACAATAAAGTTTCTGTAGGTTAATTTCTTTATTACTTTTATATCAAAGTATCAAAATTGATTAGAATTGTTATTCTTTCTCAAAAAGTTACTGTTCATTTTCGTCACCAAATCAGCAGCCATTCGGTTGCCTCGTATTGACTGAAAAAGGAAGATTTTTGAATTTAAATTAAAGGATTTAAAGGAATTGAAAGAATTGAAATCTTTCTTTACTTGATATCTTTGTAGTGGAGATTGTGTAGTGATGAGATTCCCGTTTTGATCTCGCGATGACTGACGATAATTATCCGAAAAATCGCTTGGACCTCTAAAAAGAGAACTCATCGAAGTGGAATTAAATGGATTTTCTGGTTTTATGCTTTTAAAATTTGCAGAAATAGGAATATATTTAAAAAAAGAGATTTTCATTTACCTTAAGTAGAAGATAGCGATAAGTACAGCCAGAAGAACTAAGATGAGAAGTCCGAGAATTGGTCCAAAGATCTGAAAGGAGTTGTTCATTGATGTATTGGGTTGGGGAGAATGAGTCGGCGCCGAACTTTAAAGGGACTTTTTGCACACATAAAGCCTTCTTTAAACATACGTTTGGTTTCATCAAAAGGATCCACTATTTCTCTACAAAATCACTTTTGAGAGATTCCACAAAGCTTTTCTTTCGTGGAGTTTATGAACTTCCAAACGCAGCTGGTTAAAATGGCAAAGAGTCCGACTCATCATTTGAACAGTTTCTTTCACATAAACCTTCTTTGGTGTTTATATAAAAAAGATAGAGCACATTGAATTACTTAAGTTGCCAAATTTGCAGGAAGATCCCACCAATGCTTTTTTCTAGATCACAGTTTGTAGTTTTTGTGAAAAAATGGCTTTTTCTTGAGCGGAGGCGCTGTTTGAATTTTCTTTTAAATGTGATTTTGTAGAGAATTAGTTAACCATTCTACTCATATCAAACGCATATTATTTGACGAAGTCGAATAGAAGTTTTACACATTTTTTTCATTTTCGGCGCCGACTCATTCTCCTCAACCCAATAGCTACAGATAAATCTACGATATATTAATAAATCTAAACAAAAATCGTTTCAATATTAGCTTATTTAATGTTAATTTAAAAAATAATACATTTTATAACTTAAAATCATCATCTAGCTCACTCCGGGCAACAAAAAAGGTTCGTTTTTCCAAACTGGTTTTGAAATCATCATATTAAACTTATTTAATAATACTTAAACTAAAAATAAAACCGTTATAATATATTTTTAACTGTTTAGACTTTATTAATAGTGAATTAGTTAAAATTAACGAAGAATTAAAGTGCTTGACGTCAAAAGATTGTGGCACGCTGCCTCTTTGTCATTGGCAGAACTTTAAACTCAAGTATCTTGGTGTTGAGCTGTTCAATTTACATTTTCTTGGTATCATTAGATGCGCCAAGTCTTTCTCTGTACATTTGTATAAAAACCATCTAAATTGGACAGCCCAACACCAAGAAATTTGAGCTTAAAGTTATGCCAATGGCAAAAGGGCATATCAAATGTCCGTGACCCCGCTCCTTTGTCATTGGCATAACTTTAAGCTCAAATTTCTTGGTGCTGAACTGTCCAATTTAGATAGATTTTCTACCAATTGACAGAGAAAGACTTGGCGCATCTAATGATACCAAGAACATCTAAATTGAACACCTCAACATCAAGGAATTAGAGCTTAAAGTCGGGCAACTGTCCGATCACCATGCCAGAATACTGTTCAATTAAGTACAAGTACTCTAAATCGTTCTAATCGATACTTTAGTAAATTTCTCAAGTTTTACAGTCTCTATTTTCAATTCTTATTTCAATTCTTATTTCAATTCTTATTCCAATTCTTATTCCAATTTTTATTCCAATTCTTATTTCAATCATCATTTCACAAACCTTTGGTAAAAGTGCCCTTCTCGGATCGGTCATTTGTTAAATTTGAGATCACATAATTTCTCTAAGAAATGCTTTTACATTAAAAAAGAGTAAGAGTGTGAAATAGAGAAATCCATCCGTGAATAAACTAATCTCCATGAAATGCGGTGAATCAACAGAGAAAAGAATTGAAAAGTGAAAAAAAAACAGCCATCAAACAATAAGGATCATTAAAATTTGAGAATTCATATAAGCAAAAAAAGCAAAAAGCAAAAAAAGCAAAGATTTTCCCTTTAAAAACGGGATTTCCTTTTTTCCACAAGAGCGCCCACAATTAGGACCTGAAAAAGGAAGGAAAGATGAGGAAAAATCGACTTTTTCTTTGCCATTTGAGAAGAAAAACCCAACAACTACAAATTTTAGACGTCGAAGAACTTATTTGAATGTAAAAAGTGAGAAATGAAGAGATTGCTTGATTAAATAGACAAATTTGCTTATTAAAATAGCTTGTTCAAGTCAATTTTGATTTTAAAGAAGCCCTTGATAGAAGTAAAGAGATTTGTGGATGATTGCATAAGTTATAGGAACACTAGATAGACTATCTGATATCACTAGCTCCATAAAAAGTATCTAGTTAGAGCTGGACTGGCTTGTTATCCCTAACACTGAAAGAAAAGAAAAAGAATCGGTTCTTAAGCCATATCGGGAAAAACCTATACATGCAAAAACCGGCAAAAATGGACTAATAATCTGGCTGCTGGGATTGAACCCTGGCCTCGCCGACTTGACCTTCCGACTATGATACAGGGCTGTTAGCCACTCCGCCATGAAAGCCACAAAGGCCAGCTGGAAGATTTAGCGCTTTTTGAAGCTGATTGGACTAAAAATTTACAATCAGGGGTTTCCGAGGATGAGGAATTCGAATCCATTATTGTAGGGAGAAAAACCTATAAATAAATGCAAAAATGGAGCTGGCGGGATTGAACCCTCGCCTTCCCCAACTGGCCTCCCGACTAGGATACAGGGCTCTTAGCCACTCGGCCATGACAGCCATCTTTGGAAGGGGAGATTTAGCACTTTTTGAAGCCGATTGGGCTAAAAATTTACAATCTGAGGTTTTTGAGGATGAGGAATTCAAATCCATTATTAGTTTTGAAAACTGCTCTATTTCTGGTGCTCTGCTCTAAAAAGAAAACTGCTCTATTTCTGGATATTTCACTAGGTTTAATTACCCAATTTTTAGAGTTTTGTGATGATCGTATTGGCTTGGAAAGCATGAATCGTTGTCTTCATTTGACGCATGACGCGGAAAGCAATTCTTATGGAAAATATCAAACCATTTTCATTTCTAACATATTCTTCATATTCTGAAAGAAAAGATAACACAAAGCTTCTACACTTAACCCTACAATTGTTTTAACCGATTCAGCTAATAGGCTAGTGAAAGATTTTTCTGTTTTAACTCAATAATTATAGAAGTCGATCTATGGAATGACGCCAAAAATTTTATTTGCTAAACTCGCTACAATTCAGATTATTTAATGATCACATTGTCGTTAAATTGAAGAAAATAGAAGTGAAGCCGAAAAAAAACGTTTTACAAATGATTTGTAGTCATGAAATTGCACAAAAGAAAGAAAAGAAAACGAAGAAAAATAGCTTTTCAAATGAAGACAACAATTTCAATTTTTTTTTAAAGTTTATCTGTAATTTTCGCTAGTATTTAGATAATTTTTATGACAAATAATCCAAATTTTTTGAAAGATATTAGAGGAAAGGAGATTAAACCCTACTGTATTCAGAAATTTGGATTATCCGAAGCGAAAAAATGTTAGCAATTCTTCAGAAAATATCTGAGGGAAAAAAAAAGTGTGATCGGAATGAACAAATCGAATTTGTCAAGGGAAAAAGTTACAAAAAGTCGAGTGAAATGTGTCTAAAGGTTTCTTGGGGACTTTTTTTAGAAAATTAGCTTTAAAATTCGACTTTTAGGATGATAAAAATTGCTAAAAATTGCTGAAAATTGTTAAAAATTGCTGAGAATTGCTGGAAATTGCTGAGAATTGCCGAAAATTTGCTGAAAATTGCTGAAAATTGCTAGAAATTGCTGAGAATTGCTGGAAATTGCTGGAAATTGTTAAAAATTGCTAAAAATTGCTGAGAATTGCCGAGAATTGCTAAGAATTGCTAGAAATTGCTGAAAATTTGCTGAGAATTGCTAAAAATTCTAAAACTTGCTTGAGAATTGCTTAAAACTACTGGAAATTGCTAAAAATTGCTAAAAATTGCTGAAAATTGCTGAAAATTGCTGGAAATTGCTGGGAATTGCTGAGAATTGCTAAATTAGCTTTTTTTAACGGAGTCTATTAGCTTAAAACGAAAGCCATTGAATTAATGAAATTGAAAAGATCAATTAGACTTTACCAAAGCTGGCATAGCTCTTTTTAAACATTTTTTTTAAACCATTTGCTTGTAAATACTTTAAAGAGAAGCTTCTGTGAAATAAGCTGCAAAATAAAAGGCTAAAATTCGAGTTACCGTATTTCTGAGGGGAAGTTCTCAGAAATTCTCATCTCATAATGTTCGAGGCGATGAGAAAAATAGTTGATGATAAAAGGAAGATCATCAAATCCCTCGCTTACGTTTGACAATCCCTTCGTTTTGGGAAAATTCGAGAAAGGGGAAGAAGAGGAAAAAGAGGTGACTACTCCGGATATGGATTACTCTTTTCGTAAGCAACTATCTCACGAATTTATTTCCCAAACACTAATGGGGAAATTCGATGGATGAAATGAGGCAATTAGTAAAGAAGAAAACAAGAAAAATATTACAATAAACGGTTTTTTTTAAACAAAAACGAATCAGAGACTTGATTGTGTCAAAAGTTTGAAAGTTTTGAGTTTGTTTACAATATAAAATATAAATTTTATCGGCTGTGAGTAGGAAATGATTTTTATTCCTTTTTTGTCAAACTTAGCTTTAATTCAATGACTTGATTAGACTTGCTTAACGAGAATTAACGAGATAAATGGGTAGCATAACTTCAGGCGCTTCATCTAGCCAGCAGAGGATCAGATTCTAATGAGCTTTCTTTTATTTAAAAGCCAAGATTTTAAGCTATCTAATGATATCCATTAGTTATATTTTTCTTTTGAAAAAGTGGATCAAAAACCTTATCAAGAATTAACGAGATGACGAGAAATTGTCTTGTTAAGTTTCGATAAGGTTTTTGATCGAATTTTTCAAAAGGAAAATCTATGTAATGGATATCATTAGATAGCTTAAAATCTTGGCTTTTAAACAAAAAAAAGCTCATTAGAATCTGATCCTCTGCTGGCTAGATGAAGCGCTTGAAGTTATGCTACCCATTTATCTCGTTGATTCTCTTTTTAATCCACTTTTTCAAAAGAAAAATCTAAGTGATTGGTATCATTAGATAGCTTAAAATCTTTGCTTTTAAACAAGAAAAAGCTCATTAGAATCTGATCCTCGGCTGGCTAGATCAAGCGCTTGGAGTTGTGCGACCCAATTTTTTGATCTGTCTCGTTAAACAAGTCTAGACTTGATTGATTGTTTAGAACGGTTGATTTCATTTTTAGCTCTGGAAACTTAGAAAAGTTTAAACTTAAACCCCGAGCAGTTATTTTGCATGCAATTTTCGTTTTAGTTACTCAATTGGATGTAAATTAAAAGCATTTTACTTTACAAAATCAAAGCTTAATGTTTAAAATTTGTTTAAATGTTTTAAAATGTTTAAAATGTTTAAAATCAAAGCTTAATGTTTAAAATTTTATTAAAAACACAAACGCTATAGAGGAAATTATTATAAAATCTTTTGACTTGTTCCTTGAATTGTTGTGGATTCAATTGACGGTGGTTTCGTATTCGTTAACATTGGCGATTTGGTATTATTAGAATAATGTATCTTTTTTGTTGATTTTGAAGATGGATATGGAAGATTGGTAGACTAAATATATATATGTCGTAACCGATTATGAATTTCAGCCGATTATGAATCAAATGATTTCGTTAGCGAAAATCATAATCGGCTAACCGATTATGAATGAAAGTAGCTTTTTCTAGAAATTTGTCGTCAAATGCAAATTATTTTTTCATGTTGTAGCTGATAAAACCCCAATTCCCCCAGTTCGAGTACGGATCGAAGATTACAAAATTATCCCTTGTTCAAGCAGGAATTGCTATGGTGACATCGGCTATTACAGAGGACATTGGCTTTTCGACAGGCACACCGTCCATTCAAAAATCCATTTGTGCAGTTGCAATTGATTTTTTTGATTTTAATGCACGAAGGATTACAAATTTTGTGAGATGATCCTGGTAAATCATCAAAAACTTGTAGTCACTGTCGGGGACCAATTGAAGGTCAACCAAATCGATTGACATAGCTCATTTTGTTCTTTTGTCACAATTGGTTTTATAACAATTTCTTGGATATACCCTTCTTCAGCTCGCATTCATCACAAAGCTTGACAAAAATTTCAATAATCTCCTTTGATATTCCATGATAGTCGCGAAGTTCCTTCCACATAATATCGCGTTCAGCGTGTCCTAGTCGTTTGTGAGTATCCATTAGTAGATTGAAGAGCTTCTCCTTCTTGACCACTCGCTTTGGTTGATTGTTTTGCCCGCTTCCGTGACTGTAAAGATTCGCCTGGTCCTGTTATCGAAGAGAGAAACGATTTAACAAGTTGACATCATCGCGTGATTTTTTTTTTTCTCTTATCGCTTCCCTCGCTGAATTCTTTGATTTTCACAACGATTTCATTGTATTTGTCAGCAGACGATATCAAAATCTTCTTTCTTTGAGATTGATATTGCGTGAAGGTTTCAGCAAATCGATCCTCCATCCTAAAAGAAAATTTAGTCCGATGAAAATTTAAAAGGCAAAGGTTAAAAACGTGAAAACTCTTAAAATTTGTTCGAAAGTATAAAGCATGATTAACAAGTGGTAAATGGTAACGTATTACGGTTCAAAACATTTAAATTCTGGGTCGAAATGGGAAAGTTGCCGATCCGTACTCGAACTGGGGGAATTGGGGTTTTACCAACATGAAAAAATAATTTGCATTTGAGGACAAATTTCTAGAAAAAGCTACTTTCATTCATAATCGGCTACGACATATATATCCAGTAATTGTTTCAAAGTTAGCTTTGACTGTACCTCATGTCCATAAGTAGAACTTCCTTGTGAATAGGTTGAATCGTCCTAAATTTGAGTTATTGTACAGCAAGCTTCAAGCTTTTAAGACAAAGTATATGTCGTAGTCGAAGATTGAAACAAAGAAACGCTCTTAAATATGCAAAAAACCGGGAGTGGGACATTTTCGCACCTTTTTTACCGCACTTAGCCCATTAGCGCACCTTTTTTCGCGTTTTAAAAAAGCTCTAAAAGCTAATATTAACCAGTTTCTATTCCAAAAGTTATTTTTCTAGGTAATTTTAGGGCATAGAAACGAAATTTTGGCATATCAGAGCTTGTGGAACCTATTTGAAAGACAAAACGGCTAGGTCAAATTACAGAAAATTGTTGATTTTTCTCTTTGTATAACTCCGTCCGTTCGCTTCCACAAGCTCTGATATGTAGTGTTTGTGCTCTTTTGTTTAGTACAAGAGAAATGACCACAAAGTGAGAGCACCGACTGTACATGGCAATACTAACAACGACGTACCGTCTTTGGTTGTGCAGTGTTTGTGCTCTCACTTTGTGGTCATTTCTCTTGTACTAAACAAGAGTTTTTCTAAAAGTTTTTTATACCATAGTGTAGCCCAATTGAAGGGTTACACTTTGATACCAGACTCGCATAAAGCGAAAGCCTTGGTGAATGGCAATTCGGCTCAATCTTTATGGTCCCGATATCTATGTTTAAGTTAAAGTTGGACATTATCATACATAAACCTTGGCATTAAATAGACAGAACAGTTTTAGAATTCGAAAGTTTTTAGAAAGCTGAAGAAAGAAATCTATTCGAAATCTTCACCCACTTCACTCACTCGATGTCCATAAGTGACACCTTAGGCTTAGGATAATCTCTCTAAATTTGGTTCCTTATCTCTCTAAATTTGGTTCCTCATCTCTCTAAATTTGGTTCTTATCTCTCTAAATTTGGTTCTTATCTCTCTAAATTTGGTTCCTTATCTCTCTAAATTTGGTTCCTCATCTCTCTAAATTTGGTTCCTTATCTCCAAATTTGGTTCCTCTTCTGGATAATCGGACGAGCTGTCCTAAAGCCAAGTTCAATTTCCAATGTCATAGATTATTTGAAAAGATTACAAGATTTACAATTAGATAACATTTTTAACAGCTCAATGTTTCCTTTTCGTTTTTTTAAATCCCTAAATTAAGCTGGTAAACAAGCTGCTTTTTGATGTCGAATTCAGAGACAATTCCATTAAGTGTATCTCTTAAATTCTCAAATAACTCACAAAATTCTCTGCCAATGTTGCATAAGTTTCCTCTGGCATTGTTTGATAGAATTCTTCCTCTGTTTTTGCCTTTTCATTTAGCTCATAGAAAACCGTGACTTCAATCTGTTGTAGTGAATCTAAAATAATGAGATTCTACTCAATAATGAGATTCTAACTCACAAAAATTCTAACTCTACTCAAAACCATTTTTAATTGTTAATTTCAATTTAATCTTTGCTTTAAACTCACCATTTTTTAAAGAAAAAACTTCTTTTTTGAAACTTATTTGAAAAGAAAATATAAAAAACAAAGTGAGCATGGTTTTGAATGATTTTGAATGATTTTGTGGTGAGTACGAAACTTGAGAAATCAAAACAAACAACTTAATGGAATTGTCTCGGAATTGGAGATCAAAAAGCAGCTTGTTTACCAGCTTAATTTAGGGTTTTAAAGAAACAAAAAACATTGAGCCGTTAAAAATATTAAAATCTTCAGAATGAAATAGTTTTCGAATTCGTATAGTATTCGTTCCTAGGTATAAACGGATGTGGACTAGAGATTGAGTTAAGTTAAAGAGAGTGGATCCCTTTTGATATCCCGCCATCTCTAACAACAACAACTCAACAAAACTCAACAAAACAACTCAACTCCTCCAACGTATTAGAGGAGAGTCCCTGTGAAATGACCGACCTGTACTGCAGTTGCATAGACCCGGAAGATATGTATCTTTATTTACAGTAGTACAATAAGACAAAGAGATTACAAATGAGTGTAAGGGGAAGGAGGGACTCCAAATGAGAGTCTCACTTGTCCTCCTAGGCAATCCCAAGGACCGCCCCTAGGCAATCCCAAGGACGAAAAGGGAAAAGCACAGGGGAGAACATAAGAATAGAATTTGAATTGCACATAAGACATAAGAATTGCATAAGAATAGACAAATCATTCAATAATAACAATAGTAACTAAAATATCAGTTTGGCTCGGAGCTGACAATAGATAAAAAGAAATGAAATGGAGAGAATAGGCGTCCTTTTCTGGGAACTTCTTAAACCGTGGCAAAACTTCAACACCGATTATCTATTTTTTTTTTGATCTGTCTTCGCACTTAGGTGTTTCTATTTTGCGCAGATCACAACCTGCTTCCACATTTCTCTATCTCTTGCTCTCTATACTCTTTCTGAAAGTAGAGAGAGCAAGTTGGAAACGAAAAGACTTTTTGGACAGCCTATTAGAATAGTTATAACAAGAATTTGACTAGTATAACAAAATAAAACATAGTAGATCCAACAATTATACAATTGGCGGCATTTTTCTTATGAGAAATCGGTTGCGGTTGAGTGAAGAAAGAGTCGAAAGCGGTGGAGTCTATTGGGAAATGGGCAGATGATGAAGTGGTCGCTAAAAAGCTGTAAAAATTAAAAATAAATCATCTCCAACTATCAGATTTATCCAGAATAGATTGTGGCCATTGAACGAATGGAAAGAGACTTTGAAGTGATGAATTGAAATTGCGAATTGATGTTGCAGCGGCTGCGGGATTTTGATTGCAGAAGTCTTCCGCGCAAAGTATCGTGTAGATTTTGGGAGTGATTTGAATTTGCCCAACCTTAATTTCAGAAGTGTTTAGGGTTAGATTTGTAATCTTGTAACAATGTAACAATCTTGTAATCTTGTTACCTCGATCCGTCCTTGTGCTTTACTCGAATCTTGCCAAAAACACCCCAAAAGGTAAGCCATTTCCTGTAAAATCACAATAAAAGACAAAATAAAAGACATTTTTAGCTCACTTCCGAGAAATAGATTATAAAACAAGCCTGTGCCCTGCAATTGATCATGCCTAGATTTTAAATTGATTAGAAATTGGTTGAAAGGTTGTACTCCCGCCACTGTTTAAACTCGAATAGCATTCGACGGTTTGTTGATTGAGAAGTGATGTTAATGAGGTCACATTGTTACAGTAGTCCTAGAATTGATACAGTAATCCTAGAATTGATACAGTAATCCTAGAATTGATACAGCAGTCCTAGAATTGATACAGTAATCCTAGAATTGATACAGTGATCTTGTTACAATGATACAGTAATCCTGTTACAGTAATCTTTACCCAATCACAATGCATTAGGATGCTGATGTCATATTGCGAGATTTGCCAAGCATATAGACCTCCATTGTAAATTCTAGAATCACAAAATTATCTAGAAGTCTAGAAATCTAAAATTGCAATTAGAATTCTAGAAATCCTACAACTCTACAATTCTACAATTCTAGAATTGCAAATAGAATTCTGGAAAATTCTAGAATCACAGAATTATCAGAAGTCTAGAATTTGCAAAATGTTAGAAATTCTACAATTCTACAATCCTACAATTCTAGAAATTCTATAATTCTACAGTTCTACAATTCTAGAATAGCAAATAGAATTCTAGGAAATTCTAGAACTGAATTCTAGAATTATGCAGTGAGCTCACGGAAAGAATTGCCGATTCGAGATCAAATCCTCAATCATGAACAATGACTCCTTGTATGTCATAGGAATGATTTCACCTGTCCATTTAGCTGATGACCACGAACCATCACGAACGGGGATCTAAACTATTCAATAATTGAAGGTAAATATTGAATCGAGCTCACCGTGGCACTTCCTGTTAATGAACAAGCTTTCGATGTAACTTCGGTGGTACCGTTGGCCCCAACAATTGTGAGGCCTTTACTTGATTGAGTAAGCTGAAATGTTTGAAATTATTTAGCAAATGACTGGATTTGACTGACTTCTATTGCTGGTTGGCCAACAATTATAGTGCCCCACTTCAAACAGCCTAGTTTGACCAAAATTGATGAGTTTTGGTGACATTTCTCAAGAATTTTTGCACTTAAACTGCGTCGAACATTTGAAATTTCATTTATTAACATAATAAATTCAATCTCATGATTATGATTTTAACAAAATTGCTCTCAAAAATCTCAGAAAAGCAATACTTGGCTCTCAACTTTGAAAGGCTATATAAAAAAGTTGAAAGCTTGAATCGATTAGATAATTGGTAGCGTTTTAGGAGAAATACTTAAGATCTATCTCCAGAAAAATCAGAACGATTGGCTTAATTTTGACCAATCTAGGCCCTATAATTGTTGACCACTCTGCAAGCTGTTCAGGAAGTCTTTCCGTTCCAAGCAAGGCTTCTAGGCAAGGCTTCTAGGCAAGACTTCCATGCTTCCAGTCCAGGCTTCTAGGCCAGGCTTCTAGGCCAGGCTTCTAGGCAAGGCTTCCATGCTTCCAGGCCAGGCTTCTAGGCCAGGTTTCCAGGCTTCTAGGCCAGGCTTGCAGGCCAGGCTTCCAGGCTTCCAGGCGCAAGGCTTCCAGACTTCTAGGCCAGGCTTCTAGGCCAGGCTTCTAGGCCAGGCTTCTAGGCCAGGCTTCTAGGCCAGGCTTCTAGGCCAGGCTTCTAGGCCAGGCTTCTAGGCCAGGCTTCTAGGCCAGGCTTCTAGGCCAAGCATCTAGGCCAAGCATCTAGGCCAAGCATCTAGGCCAAGCATCTAGGCAAGGCTTCCAGGCTTCCAGGTCAGCCAGGCTAGTCCAGCTCTTCTATGAGCTCTTCAAACTCACCTGATACTTGAGACATTTAACTGATTTCACCAAATACTTCACCGGCAATCGACTATCCCCAAATTTGACCATTTCCTCACTAGTCGTTAGCGAAAACTCATCATTTTCGTTGCACATAGCTGTGTGACTGAACAGAATGATTGAAATTCGAAAAAAATCATTCTTTCATCCAACTTGCAAAGGCAAAAGTATGTGTAATCGATATAGAAACTCGTTTTTTTCATTGTGACATTGTTCTCTTCGAAATAACAACCAGGAGTATAATATTTCATTCCATTTACACAGCCATGAATTGTCAAATTGTCGACACTTCGGTAGAAAGCAAAGCAAAGATCACCAGCACAGATGTCATTGCTAAAATTGTGAAACTCATAAAAGAGGAGTCTTTAAAGCTCTTTAAAGCTCTTTAAAGCTCGAATTCCGTCGTCCATCCTCCCGTAATCTAAAGAAATATAGACAAACTACCGTAATCTAAGTACTAGAAGTTAAGGCAATGGTTTATCTATTGGTTTATCTATGGCACTGGTTTATAGACTGACTATTGTTTGACTTTAGACTGACCATTTTATAGACTGTCCATTGTTTGACTATTTTATAGACTGTCCATTGTTTGAGCTAACCCAGATCTAGCTCTAAAGCCTTTCTAGTAATTCAAGGACTTTTATCTAAACACCTAGTGCACTTTAGTTTACATTTAAATGTTGAATTTTAGTAGAAATTTGCAAGGAATAGGTGCAAATTGTATAACAAGATAAGAAAGAAAAAACAGAATGCAATTAGCTCCAAAATGCTAGAGCTTCAAAGAAGAGCTTCAAAAGAAAAACAAAAACAAAAAGCTGGATCGAGGAGCGAACCCGGGTCCTATGGCCGGAAGGCCAATGTGCTAACCACTAGGCCACCCGTCCATATCTCCCAACCTAAAAAGAGGCATTTTAAAGCATTCCTTTGGTGCCAATTGCGCTTTCTAAAACGTGCAAACTTGTATAAACTATCGTGGTTTTTCCTCAAGTAAAGAGAAATTGATTTGGTTACGGATTACGGTAGTTTACATCGGTTACGGAAGACTAAAGACTAACTAAAGACAAGATTACGGTAGTTTTTGAAAGCTTACATCTTTTAGAAAACTTTCTATCACTCACGATGTGTTCTTCGGCGTCTTTTCTGCATATGGTGAATGCAAATATTGCACACAATCAATTGATTGACTAACTTTAGCCAAAATTAAAATCAATACTATAAAAAACATTGAATAAAACAAGACAAATCTCAAAGGTACAGTTTTGCTTAACTGTAAACCTGTAAAATTGTACCTCTCAGATTTTTCTTGCTTGTTTACTTCTTTTAGATTTTTTGATTAGTTTTGTCGGGACTCATTGTGAGATTTGTTTTGAAGACAAAACAACATTTGATGTCTTATACAGGGTGGGCCAAAATTACCATGCTCACTCATGCGCAAATGCGAAAGCGAAATGGAAGAAAGCGAATGGTAACAACTTCAGCAAATATCAAAAAAAGTGAGGAATCGGCTGTTGAAAACGCCAAACTAATTGGTGCGGCAAGTGTCACAAACAAAAAGGGAATACAGAGTGAACATCCCTTAATCAAAGCATTTGGGAATGATGTATTGTTCGAAAGCCGATGCCGAGCCTGGTTCTAACGCTTTCGGAATGATGATGAAAGTCTCGAGGATCATGAACACAAAAAAAAATATTTTTTTTTTTTATTTTGACAACGATATTTTGAGGGCTGCAATCGAATCGGATCCATGTCAAATGACGCGTGAACTTGCTCAACAGTTTCTATGTTCAAATTCTATTGGGTTGGGGAGAATGAGTCGGCGCCCAACTTTAAAGGGACTTTTTGCACACATAAAGCCTTCTTTAAACATACGTTTGGTTTCATCAAAAGGATCCACTATTTCTCTACAAAATCACTTTTGAGAGATTCCACAAAGCTTTTCTTTCGTGGAGTTTATGAACTTCCAAACGCAGCTGGTTAAAATGGCAAAGAGTCCGACTCATCATTTGAACAGTTTCTTTCACATAAACCTTCTTTGGTGTTTATATAAAAAGATAGAGCACATTGAATTACTTAAGTTGCCAAATTTGCAGGAAGATCCCACCAATGGTTTTTTCTAGATCACAGTTTGTAGTTTTTGTGAAAAAATGGCTTTTTCTTGAGCGGAGGCGCTGTTTGAATTTTCTTTTAAATGTGATTTTGTAGAGAATTAGTTAACCATTCTACTCATATCAAACGCATATTATTTGACGAAGTCGAATAGAAGTTTTACACATTTTTTTGATTTTCGGCGCCGACTCATTCTCCCCAACCCAATATCATCAAAAATAAGCTCAAGTTAAAGGCTAACAAGAAAAATAAATCACAAATGCTATCAGTTGACGTTATCAACCACACAAAATTGTTGATAGTTTGAAAAAAGCGCTTGAAAAGGCTTGGGAAGAGCTGGATCTCCTATATCTTCTCGCCACGATCGGCGCTTTTCTACGACGTTTGGACGCCTGTGTAAAAGCTATTGGAGATCTGTTTAAAAAGGAATAGTTTTTATGAATTGTTATGAGACAATATTTTTAAGAAAAATCTTTGACCTTTTGAGTTGCTTTTTAATACAGAGACTTTTTATATGTAACGATAATTTTGGCCCACCCTGTAGTTCGGGGTGCGATTCGCTTTAACCTTATCATCGGGGATGAATCGGGGATGACTTTGCTTCAGAATAGCCGAGTAGCACAAAAAGCTTAAAAGGGTTTCCCCAAAACGCTTACCACATAACAAGAACACGCATCATGCAAAAATAAGGTTAATACTCGTGATAAGAGTACAGAACGGATTGATACTTCGTCGATGGCGACACAAATGTTTTTAAGTTCTTTCTATCTGTGTTAAACAAGCCATCTAAACAGGATTTAAAACCTGAAGGGTGGCATAAAGTAAATTGAATTTATAATTTTACTGTTTATTATTACAGAACCAAAAGAAAAACGAAAAAAGGGGAAAAAGACGAAAAATGCGACGCAAAATAGGAACGCAAAAAGGAAGGAAACGAATCCGACCCAAGATTTTGTTATATAGAGCTAAATAAAATTCGTTTTCTTAACCAAATCATTTTAGAGGTTTATTATAACAATTTTATTAATAATAAGAACAAAATATAAAGATTATAAGTTTATAATTTGAAAAAAAAAATGATTTAACGTACTCTGCTTTACAGAGTTTAGAGTTTTTTCATAGAAAAAGTCATCAATAAAAGTTAAGGCACAAGAAACATCAATATTTCTATTTTATCCCCCCCAAAAAGGGCCAGAAGCTCTGCTAAAAAAACCCTCCTCCTCCAATCAAAAAAAAATAATTTCGGAAAAGAGAAAAAGGCGAAAAATGCGACGCGAATAATTGCAAAATAGGAACGCAAAAAAACGAAATGGATGCAAACTTATTTTCAATAAAATTGAGTTCTTCTGTTTGTCTATTAGTCTCAATTTGACTGTTTACACGAATTGCTCGTCTGTCCAACTCAGCCACCGTTTCATTCAAGCGTCGAACGTCGTGTGAATTACAAATATTGCTGCTGCTATAATCAGTACACTTTGTATAATTTTTGATTCTTTTCTAGTGCACTTAAATTGCCATTTCTTTCAGAAAATGGGGAATTTTGTGTACTCGAAAAGGCGCGTTTTCATTTCTAAGCAAAAAATCAAGCCTGAAAGATGTTTCTCACTTGCACAAGCAAAAATAATCGAGATTTGCGGCAAATGGCTGGCTCGATGCCTCAGAATAACACCCAGGTATCCAGTACTTCATTCCATTTACACAGCCAAAGTATTTATGCATCGAATCTAATCTAAAACAACTTTCCTTTTATCTAAACGTAAATGGAAACAACGATGGTCGAACGAATTGGTAACACATATCGCCAAAACATTCGGATCTGAAATAAACATTTTTGTGCTTGAAATAAGCCGGTCAAAGGGAAGTACTTGAGCTACAAGGAAGTACTTGAGCCAAAGGGAAGTACTTGAGCCAAAGGGAAGTACTTCAACTTCAGGAGTACTTCAGCTTCAGGGAAGTACTTCAGCTTCAGGGAAGACTGCAGCTTCAGGGAAGTACTTCAGCTTCAGGGAAGTAATTCAGCTTCAGGGAAGTACTTCAGCTTCAGGGAAGACTGCAGCTTCAGGGAAGTACTTCAGCTTCAGGGAAGTACTTCAGCTTCAAGGAAGTACTTCAGCTTCAGGAGTACTTAAGCTTCAAGGAAGTACTTCAGCTTCAAAGAAGTACTTCAGCTTCAGGGAAGTACTTCAGCTTCAGGGAAGTACTTCAGCTTCAGGGAAGACTGCAGCTTCAGGGAAGTACTTCAGCTTCAGGGAAGTACTTCAGCTTCAGGGAAGTACTTCAGCTTCAGGGAAGTACTTCAGCTTCAGGGAAGACTGCAGCTTCAGGGAAGTACTTCAGCTCGCCCTCAGTCCCGCTAATTCTATAACTTGTAACACACGAAATTATATCAAAATTCCTATATTCTATGCGCTTTTTGTGGCTACTACTTAGCCACATAAAGCCTCTTTGAAGCTTTGGCTATTTTCAACATTTTCAACATTTTTTTGTTAATTTATCCAACTGTTAATCTTTTTTTCCTATTGTTACTTTTTGAGATAAGACTTTTCCAGTTTTACTTCAATTTACTGACTGACTTTAGCACAGAATTTACTTGCAAAAGCTCAAAGATCAAAGCTATGAATTATTTTCCGTAAAATTAAGAGAGGCAAAGAAAGAATTACTAGCTAAAGTCAAGCAAAAAGTACATAGCGTGCCTTTGAAGCCTCTATTTAAGCCTCTATTTAAGCTTCTATTTAAGCCTCTATTTAAGCCTCTTTTAAGCCTTTTAAGCCTCTATTTAGGCCTCTATTTAAGCCTCTTTTAAGCCTTTTAAGCCTTTTAAACTTCTATTCCAGATTTCTCCCGTTTGTGGGCGTATGGGCGGCTGATTTTTGCACTATTGTGATCAGCAAACACAATTCTACAACTTCTTTTTTGGCACTGCCACTTGTGAGTCAAGTTTTCTTTAAAACAAATTGAATATCTCACTGTTGATCGGTCTTTTGAAGTCC